AGGTGATCTTGTTTTTCTGATGTGTCAAGCATTTTTGAAAAGGACAAGGTTTACTGCTGAGACTCCTGTTTGATGTTTGAACGGAAACACTGTGGTGGCATTTAAGTCTCTCTGCTGGCTGTCAGGCAGTCAAACTCCAGGACATAACACCACCTTTTCAGACTGTTGCTTCTTTAAGCCAAAAGGTATATGTCTGCCCCTTGAGGTACTCTGGGGTCCAGTGAGGAGACTGCCCCACCTAGAGGAGGCCGTGCATTAGAGGAATTGCCCTGAGAATGGCGAGGGAGGAGGACAACCACAGAGTGTAAATACTCTCACCATGGCCAATTTCGAGCAATCAATGGGACATCACTGAATGCAAAGATGGGAAGAGATTCACAGCAGCATAGCATCACATAGCATTTCTGCCACAGATACAATAGACATAACCTCAAGTAAAATGTAGTAAAATAATTGGGAAGTGGTTTGACTAGGTATTACCTTTGTTTTTAAAATTATTTATTTAATTGTAAGTTTATATAACTTCAGTTTTAATAATGGCTCTGTTTAACAACTATTTAGTAAAATCCCTAAAAAACGAAGCTAAACTTGTACAGGCTCTCATAAGCCTGTACAAGTCAGCTTTAGCACACCACTGGCTGGGAAGAAATGTGGGTATCACGTGGTAGCTAAGAGGTCAAGTTCATAACACCCTTGGCATATCCAAAACTATCTGGGCAGAATTTAACAGGGGCAGAAATGACCACAGAGTGGGTGGGTGGGAGCAAAGCCTGGAAAATCCTATTTTGTTGTGGCTGTTTTGACCCTGTGTCTATTTCTGTTTCTGGATCATAGGCAGCAACTGAAACCCAATCCAACGTGTGGGCACTGAGGTCTCCCTCTGCAAATGCAGCTGTGTGAAATGCTTCCATCACGTGCTGCTCCCCACAAGGAAAGCCTGCTCCCTGCTAAACTGGACAGACGAAAACTTGGCCAGGCATGGTGGCTCATGCCTGTAATCCCAGCACTTTTGGAGGCTGAGGTGGGTGGATCACCTGAGGTCAGGAGTTTGAGACCAGCCTGGCAAACACGGTGAAACCCCATCTCTACTAAAAATACAAAAATTAGCTGGGGATGGTAGCGGGTACCTGTAATCCCAGCTACTCAGGAGGCTGAGGCAGGAGAATCACTTGAACCCAGGAGGCGAAGGTTGCAGTGAGCTGAGATCGTGCCCCTGCACTCCAGCCTGGGCAACAGAGTGAGACTTGGTCTATTAAAGAAAAAAAAAAAAAAGCTGAAACTTGCCCCCACCTTTCCCTAGAATGTGTGCTTGTGTCCTGAAGACTTACTCCCTTAGTCAGCTCCTCTTCTCTGCCTGGGATGAGCCAAGTCACAGGATATGTCCCAGGATGCCCCCTCAAACGCCCACAGTGAGTAGTGCCTTCTGCCTGAGCCTCAGGAACAGAGGCAGCCCCAAGATGTCCAGCTTGGACCAGCAGCTCCGAGGCCTGGAGAAGGCTCTGCCTAAACAGTCATTTGCCAGAGCACACTTGAAAACAGAACAGCCCAAGTCCAGGAAGAGAAAGGGTTATGGAAATGGATCTGTGTAACGACACAGCGTGAGTGCAATTAATTGTTGTCAAAGCATTTTGCTGGCTGCATTCATCTCTTATGTAGGAGAACAAAACTGTCATAATGATGACAACTTTATTGAACATTGGTGCAATTACCAAACCTAAAAATAGGATGCAAAGGGGAAATTTTCTTGAGAGGGCTGAGCTCTGCTACCCATGTTGCAGGCCTGGGACTGTCCGCCCAAAGATGGAGAGGGGAAAGGAGGGAGCTGAGATTCATTGATTGTCATCAGGTGTTACTAGGAGAAGTATTTTACCCGTTTTTATCTACATAATCCTCCCTTCCCCTCTTTGAAGGGAAGGGCAGTTGGGTGGAGCACTGAGGACCAAGATTTGTTGAGCACGAATTGTGAGACAGGCTCAACAAGCATTCTGTACATAGTTTACTTAAATTATCACAAGAATACTGAAAGGAGGTATTATTGCCTCATTTTACAAATAAAAAGGTTGAGTCTCTAAAGGTTAAGAAGTTTGCACAAGATCCTGTAGCCAAAGTCCTTCCAATTATAAAGTTATTCACATAGAGTTGCTTGCTGTGAAACATGTGAGCTCAGCAGAGCCACACTGCTGTCCCATCTTCATCCCCTTTTCTCTTCTATCTCACACCCCATTGTCCTTCCTGGACTCTATCACCCTTTCAGGAGTGAGAAAATGGTCAAAGCCTTGGAATCAAAAGGACCTGGGTGGAAGTCTAGGCTCCATGACTTATTAGCCATTGTGACCTTGGCTCAATTGCTAGACCTCTACAAGCTTTAGTATTTTCAACTATCCCTTGAAGACAACAATCATTCCCATTCCCTAATATTGATGGGGGATTAAATGAGCCTACATATGGTAAGTGCTTTGCAGAGCATCCAGCACATAGCAAGTACTCTATGGCAGTGGTTATCATTATTGACAGAGAACATGGCACTGGGTCAGGTCCCAGCCCGACCTCCATTTAGGATACTATAGACAGGATCGGGCCTCAGGAGGGTGGCAGCATCCAGCAATCTTCACTCCTGTTCCACGTGGTCAATTGGCTCCTTGGTCCTCCCAAAGGGAGGGACCTTGCCGTGGAATGGGCACAGGGCAGAGTAAGGATGGTGATACAGTTTGGATGTTTGTCCCCTCCAAACCTCATATTGAAATGTGACTACCAGTGTTGGAGGTGGGTCCTGGTAGGAGGTGACTGGATCATGGGGGCATATTCCTCATGAATGGCTTAATGCCATCCCCTTGGGGATGAGTGCATTCTCGCTCAGTTCACATGAGATCTGGTTGTTTAAGTGTCTGAAAACCTCTCCCTTCTCTCTCTTGCTCTTCACCATTTGACATGCCTGCTCTCCCTTTGTCCTCCACCATGATTAGAAGCTTCCTGAGGCCCTCACCAGAGGCAGGAGCCACGCTCGTACAGCCTGCAGAACTGTGAGCCAAGTAAATCTCTTTTCTTCAAAAATTACCCAGGCTTGGGTATTCCTTTATAGCAACACAACAATGGACTGGCCCAGAAGGCAGGGAAGACTCGCCCTCTACAGTGAGGTGTGCTGACCACATGCAGGGTACTGTTCTAAGTTATCTGCAGGTATGAACTCATCTAATCTTTATAGAAAGCCAGTGTGGCAGGTGCCATTATTCTTCCACCTTAGCAAAGTGAAAAGTGAGCTTTGACTCTTCCAAGTTCCCCTCTGACCGTTTAGGCATAGCCACACCAGGCCTACAGCTCTACCTCTCTAAGGCAATGGGAACCAGTTCACCAACACCACCTGCAGGAGATGACTCTGATCCCTAGGAAGCTCTCTCCTTGACGCATGCTTGGAAAGGTGAGCTCTTTATCTCTCAAGGAAAATATTCACTTTGCGCGTTGGAAAACAGAGGAGTTTTTCCTGCTTTTCCTCTCTTCTTCCCTTTGGTCACTTCTGTGGGATACACAATAAGAGACTGGGCAACAAGAACAAAATTATGTGAGAAGAGGCAGACTTGGGTTTAAATCCCAGCTACAGCTAGACATACCCGTTGCTAGCTGTGGATCTCTGCAAGTGACTCCTCTCCTCAGTTTCCTCATCTATAAAACAGAGATCATATCTGCCTCGTGGTATTGTTATGAGGATCAAGGAAAAGCATATGAAGCATCCAGATCACTGCCAGATGCCTTGGTTTACAACTATCGTTATTTGGCCATTTCTTCGTAGTATCAAGCCCTTGTTCTGCACTACGTCACCTAGGGAGGACTCACCTTCCCTGAGGCTCCCTAGTTCCCTCATGGATGAAGTGGGGATGAGAACATCTAACCCGCTGGGCACGATCACTGTGAGGGGTGGGTGAGGTCACACGATCACTCTGAGGGGTGGGGGAGGTCACCGTTTGAGCACTTAACACAGTGCCTGGTGCACAGCCCGTGCCCCATCACTGTGCCCTTTACTCTTAGCTTTATCATCATGATTAACTTCTCCCAAGAACTGGAAATTCACTGAAACTCACAACAGATCATGAGAATTATTTCCCAATCACAACTTGTGGGAGGGAAATATCTGGATGTTTCTTTTTCATAAACATAAGAGCTGTCAGGCCAGTGGCAGTGACTCAGCCTATAATCCCAGCACTTTGGGAGGTGAAGGTGAGCAGATTGCTTGAGCCCAAGAGTTTGAGACCAGCCTGGGCAACATGGCAAAACCCCATCTGTACAAAAAATACAAAAATTAGCCAGGCGTGGTGGTGTGTACCTATGGTCTACTCGGGAGGCTGAGGTGGGAGCATCACCTGAGCCCGGGAAGGTCAAGGCTGCAGTGAGCCGTGACTGTACCACTTACACTCCAGCCTGGGCGACAGAGTGAGACCCTGTCTCAAAAAAAAAAAAAAAAGACATCTCTACTTCCATTTTAATGGTCTTTGTGTACTTGTGTCTCCTATTATGAGCCACTTCAGATCTTTTTGAAAGGAGGCAGAGTATAGAAACAAAACAGCTCCATGGTGAGAAGTAACACGGATCATTCACCTTCCACATCCGGTTGCATTTGCAGGACGGTTGTGCAGTTAGATTAGCGTCTGCAGTCTGCCATCCAACACTTGCCTCTCTGGATGAGGGTCACTAGTCGTCTCAGGAATGAAGCCAAAGCCAGGCCCAAGCAGCCCCAAAGGTAACTCTATCCCTAACAACAGTTACCTGGTCGGTAATCTGCAGGTACTGGCCAAGAGGAAGCCTTCTCCCCAAATCATCACCTCAAATTCTCCAGTTTTACACCATAAACCTCGGAGTAAAAGTCTGCATTTTGTTTTCCATAGAATTTTTAGCAGCACGATGCCTTTTTGAAAATTTGCCTTTTCCTCCTATCAGTTTTCCAACCATATGTAGACAAATCCAGCCTGTAATGGTTGAAATGAGAGAGCCAGTTAAGTGAGACACTCAAGTTGTCGCTGCATTTTAATAAACATAGCACACAATGTGTTGCTACACAAACACCATTCATAAACCTGAGTCACAGGTTTCAGATGGGAGCTGGGGATGTGTATAAATAGCCTGTGTATGTTAAACAGTAGAAAAGAAGTTTGGGGAATAAGGTCAAAATCATTGTGCCCAATTTAAACATCATAAAAATCTCAGCCTTGTCATTATTTACAACCCCCAGCACAACTCCCACCCAAAAGAGATTGCCAAATGGAAAATTCTAAATAAGATGATGTCCTCATGTCGACCTAAACAGTACAAATGATGCAGCATCATAAAACGAAGTTATAATTATGTTGTCTCACTTCCTGGCTGCCGGATGCCCATGGTACAGAGCAGCCACTCCACAGGATTTTCTGAGCTCTGAGCTGTCTGGGGTTTTTGTAAGAACATAGCTTTGACTAGCATTGACCAATTGATTTGCATTAAATGATTCTGATGGTTTGAGGTGGCAAAAGAAGAATACAACCTGTGTGGTGGAGAACTAACACCTTGAACATGTTGCAAACGTTTCAAAAATCCATTTTTCCTATATTCACCCCTCCTCAGCTGAAAACAGCCCCGCGAGCTCAAGGCTGGTTACAGCTGAAGGCAAATCCCACACACCCTCCAGCCCCTCCCATTTGAGAAAAAGGGTGTGGCCACGGCTTGGAAGAAAGGCAACAAGAGTCTTGGGGGGCAGCCAAGGCATTCTCGAGGCTTTCAACAGGTCCCTGCAGACTTGGCCTTGACTCTGGGTCATTCTGATCCTTAGCAAGCACCTTGCAGCCTTCCAGCCTCCGCTCCCATGGCCCAGGAACTCAGTGTGAACTTGCAAGGTGCTGTTCAATGAAGTGGATTCAGGAAGCAGCAATTCTCTCTCAGGAGAGGTCTAGTGTTTTGTCACCTACTCCCCCACACCACTGATGCTCAGAAGGGCTCTAGGACCCTGTATGTGGAATTCGAATGCCGAAGATTGACACACAGGGCAACAACAGACACGCAGGGTTAACTTGGCTCCCAGCTGGCTGCGTGATCCCAGCTCCCGTTCAGTCAGACTGCCTGCTGGGTCTATTTCTCACATATCCCCATTCTGGTCCCTCCTCCAGTCACCAGCAGAAATGCACCTCTCCGTCTGAGGTCTCTCCCATCTCAGTCTCTGATGACGTGCACGGTCTTTGCGTTAAGAGCTCACTAAAGTGTAGATCATGCTGAATGCAAAAAGAAAAGGAAAAGAAGGTGTTAGTGGAAGCCCACAGAGGACTCAGGCTGCCCCTCAGGAGAGGGACCTTCCAGAGGCCAGACTCCTTGGCTTCTCCCTCATTCCTGTCACTATAGCATCTCGCCGACTCCACTACTGTGCCCCTCTACTTCCCACAACGCTGGAATAAACATTTTTGGGGAGAGCATATTGTATCCCTTGGATAAAAGATGTGATTGCTCTAAGTGCCTATTATTATTCTCATCAGGATGATTATTATGGTTGTTTTCCTTTTCGTGCAATTGCAGGGCAGGTCTGGGGGTGCAGTGGATTCTTTATGCCAGCAGCTGCCATGTGCTTGCATGATGGCTGTGTCCAGGGGCTCCCAGATGACGCTGGATAATACGCTAATGCTGGGAAAAAGATCATCCTCGTTATTGCAAAGTCTTGCATGGGAACATAAGCCCTCTGGGCACCAGAACTCAGTCAACTCTTGATTGGGTAACTCCCTGGCCCTCCTATTTTTAATGGACTCCAGGAATTAAACATGCATTAAAAGCGCGTGACCTAAAGTATTGCCCCAATACTACTAAGAGTGGGGGTAAAGGGGACATGTATCCCTGTGCTCTTAATAAGGACTTCAGGTTAAGTTTGCAAGGCTGAGGAATGATCTGCATCAAAATATACCTCTTTATTTGGCAGAAAAAGAAACCAACTGCCTTTCACATTATGGTGAGAAGAAAGATTCGTCTAAGAAGTAAAAGAAATGAAAAGAAGTCAAAAGGTTTTACTTCTAACCCTATGCAGCTGTGGAGGCCCAATGGGCTCTTCTGAGTAGCTGAAGTTCCATCTTCAGGAACCTCACACATCTCATGTGCACAGAGAACCACTGGTCAGATCTGGAGCAAGAGGGACTTACTCCACCTGGGGAAGCTGAGGGCCAGATGAGGAGTGACAGCAGGGGGAGAAGCCACATCCTAACTCCGAAGCCAATGCTTTTTGCATGACAGTACTAAGCCTCATGTGGATATCTTTATTTACTCACTTTCATTCATTCTTTCATTTAAAACCAACATGGTCTCTGGTGTCAAGGAACAAGTAAACCATAAATAACATAGATGGAGAGAAATAAACCTGAGGAGGGACAGGCATGATCCAGAATAACCATGCAGGGGGGTGGTCCTACTATTTCAGGTGACCTAAAGTATTGCCCAATACTTTAGGATACTGTTCATACTGGGCTCACCAGCTAGTATTAGTATCTGCGTTAGCTAGTCCCCTTCTAACACAACCCTCAAATTATCACCTGGTCCACAAGGCAAACTGTGAAGTGGGGTGATGGGTGCCATGTGATTCAAACAGGATAGAAGAGCGAGCACAGGCTCTGAAGCCAGATGTCGTGAATTATTAGCGGGGACCTGAGACGCATTTCTTAACCTCACCAAGGTCCTCAGGAGCTCCTCAGGAAGCTGAAACCATAAACCACCCACCCCGTCTTCCCCGCTGTTGTGTGGGTCTCTAGCCCTGAGCTCAGTTCAGACATGGCTCTGCACACACACAGGTCCCCTTCTCTCCTTCCCACGGTGGCCTGTGCTGGCGCTCCTGTGCTCTCCACCAGCTCTGGATCTGAGGGGCCGGCAGCTCCTAAGGTGGGAGAAACAGAGTCTTTTATGGAGCCCCACAGAGCACGAAGGGGCCAGATTCAACAAGGAATGCAGGAGACCGTGGGGGCCACCCAGGGTCCCAATGAGGCTGCAGGAACTGTTTCCAATTTTGTTTTAGAAACAAAGTGATTAACACATGTATCATGAAGGCAGGGCCAAATTGAAGTAATGAACTAGAGGACAAACAGTCAAACAGACTGTCTGGAACACACTCAGTTATAGAACGATCACACCCATCCAACCGAGAGGAGCTGCCAAGCCCTCCCCACCCCGCCCCCTCCCACCCCCCAGAGCGGAGCACGCACAGCAGCTTCCCTCCCTGTGAATTCATATGCCTTCTTCCTGGCGACGCCTCGGCTCCAGCATCTGCTGCAACAAAACTGAAATGAGGGAAATATCTTGCCTCCGTCTTCATCCACACTGAGGTGGATCCCAGGCTAAAGGGGCAGGAGCTAATTAAAACACTGGTCTCATTCTGTTGGCTTACAGGAGAGACAGCGCTGTCTCTAGGGTCAGGCCACTCAGCCCATGACTCTGCAGAAGGGGAAGTCTGTGACTCCACAAAGAAAGCAGGGTTGAGCACACTGCAGGGAACAAACCTAACCTCCGAGGTATCCAGTCCCTAAGCCCACAACGGCTTTGTCCACGCTCTGTATGTTTCCCAAGACAGGAACCCATCTGACAAGCCTTTGGTTGCCAGATAGTTCAGACTTGGAGTCAGAAAGACTTAGGTGAACCCACTGGGCACCGTGGAAATCTCCGGAGGCTTCAAAGACTGTCAGGCTCCCCGCAAGCTGGAGTAGTAAACATTCCAGAGCACCCCACAGAGTCTGCAGACACAGGGGATGTAAAGGGAAGGCAGAACCAAGTAGAATGCTCCAGAGCCACCAAGGTGTGCATCAGGATTGTCCAGAGAGCTTGTTTAAAATGCGGAACCCAGCCCTGGAAAGTCTGAATAGGTAGCTATAAGCCCAGGAATCTGTATTTTTAAAAAGCACACCTTCCTCCCTTCCTTAACCCTCACTTTGATAAAGACTTTTCTAGAGGTTTTCTAAGATAGCCAGCAGTTAAGAGCTACTGGGCATAGTGGCTTACGCCTGTAATCCCAGCACTTTGGGAGGCCAAGGGCGGGTGGAACACATAAGCGCAGGAGTTCAAGACCAGCCTGGGCAACATGGCAAAACCCTGTCTCTACATAAAAATACAAAAATTAGCCGAGCATGGTGGTACATGCCTATAATTCCAGCTACTCAGGAGGCTAAGGCAGGAGGATCCCTTGAGCCTGGAGTTTGAGGCTGCAGCAAGCTATGATCCTGCCATTGTATTCCAGCCTGGGAGACAGAGTGATACCCTCAAAAAAAAAAAAAAAAAAGGAAAAGGAAAATGAAAAAGGAGTTCAGCCTTTGAAATCGGACTCAAGATGTATTACTTATAGCTGTGACGCTATTAGCTGTGAATTCAGGAACATAAACTTCTCAGATTCAGTTCATTTTTCGTATGTGAGTGAGGATAGTATTTATCTCATAAGTTGAGCAATACGTACAAAGCTCTGAGCACAAAGCCTGGCTCATTTTTAAATGTCAGAACTTTGGGAGGCTGAGGCAGGAGGGTCACTTGGGCTGAAGAGTTCAAGACCTGCCTGGGTAACACAGTGAAACCCCATCTCTACAAAAAATTAAAAAAAAAAAAATTAGCTGGGCATGGTGACACATACCTGTAGTCCCAGCTACTCAGAAGGTTAAGGTGGGAGAATCGCTTGAGCCCAGGAGTTCAAGGCTGCAGTGAGCAGTGATGGCACCACTGCACTCCAGCCTGGGCGAAACAGTAAGATCCCATCTTTAAAGAAAAATTTAAAAATAAATAAAAAATGCTGGACAAATGCAGCCACATTCTGCCCTGCCACAGCCCAATCCAAACCTAGGTGTGGCGTGGAGTCCAACACACCAACCTCTCCTCCTCTTCACCTGGCTGCTGTCAACCACGCCCTTTTGGAGACATCACTGGGAGGTTTGGAGATCACCATGGCCCTGCCACAGGTAATGACGGAATCGCAAGTGACAGGTGAGAGTCCCCAGAGACGAGCCAAAGAGGAGCAGGGAGGAGGAGGAGACATTTGCGGAAAAGGCACTCTGGGCTGTCAAACCACAAGATAGTCTGTTTATAACTATCTGCTCAGTTAGGATGTTCTGAGCGGAGAGGTGCAAAGAGGGGAGATTCCTGAAACAGGATTGCAAAGTAGGCAGGTTTTTCTTAATTGGAATGGTGTTATGTAATATTGGGAAAACGGTAAATGAAGCATTTAGTGACCCAAAATGCCACTTTATGAACCATGACAGCCACTGTGGGACTGGGGCGGGGAGTTTGGAGCCTCTGTTATGGTTCCCAAGAATCCTTGCAAACAGGCCACGGGGCAAGGGACAGTGAGGATGAGCCCGGGCCCCGGGGCCATAGGCAACCTGGTGGGCTGAGCTGCAGAGTTGTGAGAGGCAGGAAGCCCTATAGGGAAGAAGGAGTAACCAACCACACTTCACCAGTTACCTCCAAAGGGATGTTGAGAGGGTGTTTTCACTGCATGGCCCTAAGGATGTGCCCATCAGCAGGCAAGGCCTCCTGCAGGATCTCCTGCCCCTTTCCCTGTCTACACAGAAGCCCTTGCTCCTGAGCCAGAGTCAGACAGCTAGGGCCACACCCGACTGGCCTTGACTCCCACCCTCGCAGGCCATCTCCCAAAGGCTGCCTCCCAGAGGCCAGCCTGAAATTCTCTTCCTTTTGCTGCAGGAGTCAAAACCACCAGGAGGGGCAGCTACTCACCAGTAAAGGTAGTAGAAGAAGGAGAGGAGATAGAAGGCCAGCTTACACCAGGCCTCCTTCTGACAGTAACTCAAAGTGTCGGCATTCATGACCACCGGTGGGTCGTAGGCTAGCTCTGAGCTATCTGCCGGACAGTGGAAATACCTGCAGGGAGAGAGGACATCACTGTCTCTGAGGTCCTGGTACTTCTGGCACCACCTGGGCAAGCCCTTCTGATGCAGGGCTTCTGTCGAGCAATCCCTGCCAAGCGATTGCCTGCCTTCTGCCCAAATCACAGCTCAAGCACCGCTGAAGAGTGGCTCAGCCACTATCTTCCAGCAGGTAGTAAATCCCCAAATACTCCGACCCACTGGCATCATGGCAATTTCACCCATATACAAAGCTGCTCGAACAGAAGGGGAAATGTGTCACCTGGCATTGCCTGGGAGTCTGAGGAAGAGCTGCCTCTCAGGACAGGTGTAGGCAGGGGTACGGGGCTCTACTGCCACTGCTGGGGCACCACCGTACCTCCATTCTACCCTAAAAACTACTTTACACAGACCGTTATTGAAAATCCTGAGTACTTCAGGACATCCTATTCCCACTTGAGTGTAGAGCAGTTTACAGGTGCTTTCCTTCTTGATAGTGGGACCTAGAACTAAAAAAGAACATCAGCCATCTGTCGGGAGAGAGCAGGCCCCGGACGGCAGCTGGGTGAGCGAAAGAACGTGGGTGGGAAAGAGGAGGAGGGGGAGCAGCTAACATGAACTGTGTCTACTTCAAAATACTACAGTCCCAAGGCTCACCTGGCCACCGCCCCTGAGGGGAGCCCAAAATACCATATTCCCAAGGCTCACCTGGCCACGGCCCCTGAGGAGGGGAGTCCAAAATACCATATTCCCAAGGCTCACCTGGCCACAGCCCCTGAGGAGGGAAGCCATCAGGCTTGGTGAGACCTGGGGCAGGAGTCTGAGCCTCCTGAGTCCTTTGGGAAGTGGTCACTGCCCCCAGGACACTGCCCCCAGGGACCTGGCCACAGCCTCCTGCCCAGCCCAAGAACAAAGTACAGCTGGAATCTCTCAGCGAGTTCCTTTTTCAGTCATTCTGGTAAAGCCACCCACAGGCCAGGAGTGCAAATAAATGGCTTCCCTGGGCTCTGGGACAGACAGTGGTTCTCAATGGTGAGCATGGGCCTGGGGAGAGGGCTCCAACCGGGAGATTAATCACACTGGCTTTGAAGAACATCCTGCAATGTAGCAACTCGCAGATCCAGCATCTCTGCTCCCTCCTCCTTCCCCTTCAGAGAATTGCACTGACATTATCTGTCACTGACACTGTGCTGAAAAGAAATCACAAGCCAGATTCGATGACAACTGCCAGCTCACAGCCCTCCAGGCCACTCACCTCTCCTCTTCCTGGGAGCGATCTCAAAAGCTATTTGCTGTCACTGTAGTTTTATTCCCAGGTGACCTCATTAAGTGGAGGCAGAAGGGCAGGGTGGCCATATGGCTCCGTGGAAAGAGCAAAGGCCCTGCCAGTCACTGGTCACCACACTGACTTTCCTTGGGTCACTCATTAATCCAGCTGAGCCTCAACTTTCTCATCTGTGAAATGGGGACGGAATTGCCCTCCGCACAGGGCTGTTGTGGACTATTATGTGAGGCGATGTATGCAAATAACCTGGGAAGAACAGGTACTGAGTCAACAGCAGACAGTCCTATTTCCTTTACACAAACTAAGAGCCAGAGCAGGAGGGGACTTTCTCTGTATGAGAAATGTCACTGATCTGGACCTGTTGGAAAGGAGGGGGAATGGAAAGGGGGATAAAGGGTGTATAAGGCCTTTGATGTTTAAAGGACTCCTCTCCTCCTCATTCTTTTTTTCTTTCATGTTCTGAGAACTTACTAATTGCCAGGAACTAGACTAGATCCTGTCAGGGATTCAAAAAAAAGGTAAGACAAAGTGCCTACTGGCAAGGAGATTATAGCCCCTCCCTTCCTCCATAGAGATGAACTTTCCAAGTCTATGGACACTGGCTGCCTTTCCTTTTCCTCCCTTTTGGACAAGTGCTAGCCCCACAAGCAGTGCCCTGATCGATGTTTTGTCAATTACATTTCTGATACGCTGCCTTGACAGCCCCCTACTTGAAGGACCTTGGGAGGAACTCCTTTCCTGGGGAGAAGAGCCGGCCCCTGGGGCAGTGTGTCAGGCAGCAGGGACTCGGACTGGGATTCGTACAGAGGTGGGACGTAACCTCAGCCCTGCCACGTCCGAGCTGAGCAACGCTGGACAGCTGACTTAACCTTTGTGAGTCTCTGTGTCCCCGTGTGTCAAACACAGAAAATGAAACCCAGCTCACTTGGTTATTGTGAATCCTGGATCTCCTATTTGACTTCTCTCTAATTCAGATGATAGCAGATTGCCTTTACTTAAAGTGAGGCTTTTCGGTGTAACTGAATCTTTTTCCTTCCTCCCTAAACCTGAGATTTCTTCTACCCTGCTGGCCCTGGTCAATGGCACCATCAACCTCCCGGCCACCCAGCCTAGAGGTGTCCTCTCCCTTACCTGCACCCAATTATGGGCCAAGGCCTGTCCAGTTCACTTCCATGGGTTCTTCTGTTCTCTCATCATTCTGACTCCCACTACATGGGTCAAGGCTCTCTCATCTCTCCACCTGGAGTTCCCACCATAACCCCCCAGTTGGATTTCAATCTCAATATTTCACCCTCTAACCCATCCTTTACACTACTTCCCAGGCCACCTTCCTAAAAATCAGATCAGGTAATGCCATTGTCTTCTTCTAAAGTTTCTGATCATTTTCCATTACCTGAAAAATAAATTAATTGCACCTTCCCCATAAAATCATTTCAGGCCCTCCATACCATACTCTCAGCTGTCTGCCAACCTGTCTCTTCTTATTTCCCTTGAAGAAACCTACATCCAGCCTCACTGAACAACTACTATTTCCCAGACACACCAAGTGCTCTCTTAACTCTGGGCCTTTACACATGCTGGTCCCTCTCTCTGGAATGTGCTTTTCCAAAGTCACTCTTGAGTCTATTTAAGTGCTTCTTTCTCTATGCTCCGACCTGTATTCCTCATATGTCTGTTAAGAACATATTTCCCTCTACCACTAGGATGTACGTTCCTTAAGGGTAAAGGTTTTGCTTTACACTTAACGTGAAATCCCTCACAATGCCTGGCGTGTAGAATGTATTCTGCATGTTTTCTAAATGAAGGAGTGCATGTCTTAGGTGTGGCTAAATTCAAGCCAGATTTTATGGTAGAATAACAATGATAAAACAATTTGGGGTCCAATGCTCTGGCAGCCAAGGGTCAAGGGCAGGCAACTTATCTGCACAAATACCCTCTCTACTATTTTGATATTCCTCCACCTCTGCCTCCTGTGTCCATATGGTGACTCTATTTTACAAAAAGCCAAAAATCACATGATCTGACGCATGGTCTTAGAAGGGAATAGAATATATGAAATTATAACTGTCCCAGAAAATCCAGCCCATCTGGTAGGTGCTTTTTTTTTTATTAAAATATAATTTACATACCATAAAAGTCACCCTTTTAAAGTGTACAATTGTACAATTCAGTGGTTTTTAGTATATTCATAGAGTTGTGCAACCATCATGACTATCTAATTTCAGAACATTTTCATCACCCTAAAAAGAAAACCTTTGACCCACTAGCAGTCATTCCCTATCTCATTCCCTCCCAGTCCCTGGCAGCCATGAATTTACTTTCTGTCTCTATAGATTTGCCTATCCTGGACATTTCATATAAATAGAATCATGAAATATGTGGCCTTCAGTGTCTGGCTTTTTTCATTGATCCTTTCTTTAGGACTCCATGTTGTAGCATATATCAGTACTTCATTTTTTTTTATTGACAAATAATATTCCATTGTATGGATATACCACATTTTGTTTCTCCATTTATCAGTTGATGGGCATTCGGGTTGGTTCCACTCTTTGGCTGTTGTGAATGCTACTATAGATGCTTTTAACACTGACCTGCAAGGGATGGGATTGTGGTTAATGAAACCAACAAAAAGGGCCTTCTCTTATTGGACCTGCTGCCTGAGAGCACTTTGGGAATGGGCTTTAAAGACAGAGACCCAGAAAGGAAGGGATGATTGGAAGGCACTAGAAGCTGTCTACTTGGGGGACCTCATCACTGGAGAGCAGGTTGCCCTGGCAGAAAAGAAAGAGGATAGACCAGTCCCAGTCCGACTTACCTCCAGAAGTGATAGAAAAGTAGAGGGACATTCAGCCCCAGCGTGAGCCACTCTTGCGCACACAGGAACATGATGCAGAAGAGGCTATGGATGGAGTATTCTGGCAGCACCAGCTGAAGAGGGAGCAGAGACACAGCCCTGAGTTAGAGGAGGAAAACACCACTCCTGCTTCTATGGCAGCTGACTTCTGCCTGGACACTGCCTCTCACAGGCAGTTGATACAAAGGCCCTCCCTTGAGCAACATAGAGCCACTGTCCCAACACAGATCCATTTCTGGTAAGTTCTTCTTTTTATGGCACTCCTCTTTTTATTATACTCAAACCCAAATGACACAAGCCCTCAGTGCACTACTTGCTATTAATAGAATACCGTGCTCGCTCCTAGGGGTCACCCATGGATGGCCACTGGGAAGACTGGAAGAGCTGGTCCAGTCCATGTGTCATCTGATCCAAGGCAGGACCACTAGAAGAAATACTGCAAGGGTTTCTAATGAGTCCATAACTGCCCTGCTCCTATTTTTCTGGCCCCTGTGTGTCTTCCTATAGTAACTCACAAACCTAAAGTGAATATGTACATTTATCACAAATATAGGAGGGTCAGGAAAAAATGGCCAGCCTCAGGAGGCAGTGGCATTTTGCCTGATGGTGGATGGAGCAAGAGGAATGCAAGAAAAAGAACAATTAGCAATGATGAAGAGGGACAGTGTAGCCTCTGCGGGAAGAGGGAAGAAACTGATTCTGACCAAGAAAGGCCTGATGGTGGGAAGCAACCAGCAGGAAGACTAAGCTCTTCCACCTCCAACCCAGCCACACAGGTATAAATGGGTAAAAGGAGCTTAAAAGCATTGAAAACCTGCTCCCAAGGGTGCTTACATTTTATCAGAAATCAGAGTTGTAAGCTAAAGGGTAACTGTAAGAAATTTGGCACCTAGACCAGCAGTAAGGAAGGCTACATATATAAATGCACCATTTTACCCAGCTATGTAGGGAGATATAGATATATATTACCAAATATATTTATTTATATAATATATAAATATACTTTGTATTGTTTAGGCTATCCTGAATGCTTTGGTCTTCCTATCAAAATCTTTTGAAATATCCTGCAAGGCCCATCTCAAATGCCCCTTACTTTCTTTTTTTTTTTTTTTTTTTTTTTTGAGACATAGTCTTACTCTGTCACCCAGGCTGGAGTACAGTGATGTGATCTCGGCTCACTCTAACCTCCGCCTCCTGGGTTCAAGCAATTCTCCTGCCTTAGCCTACCGAGTAGCTAGGATTACAGGTGTCTGCCACCACGCCCAGCTAATTTTTGTATTTTTCAGTAAAAACGAGGTTTCACCATGTTGGCTAGATTGGTCTTGAACTCCTGACCTCAGGTGATCTGCCCACCTCAGTCTCCCAAAGTGCTGGGATTACAGGCATGAGCTACTGTGTCTGGCCTCAAATGCCACTTTCTATTGGGAGTTCTGCCCACCCTCCCCTGTACCTCTGGGCCCCACAGCATGTTTTCTGACCCCCTCCCAGGGGTACTTTCCTAATCTATCCATTGTGGAGTCATCATCCTCTTCCCACCTCCCAATACAGACAGACTCCTCTGTCCAGCATTCTGTAAGCCATCTTAGCCAACGTCTATTCTTTTCTCATTTCCATTTACAAAGTGCCTTCGTACAATGCACGGCAGTTAGGAGAGACTTAACAAATACTTGGTAAAGTGCATTGAACTGACCAAGTGCACGTGTTTACAACGTGGCTGGCTGGCATTAGATATGCAGCCTGTGGTTACAAACTAAGATGTCTTTGGGTGGAGAACAAACTCCCTCAAACCATCCCATCTGGGTGTGGACCATGACTTTGGTCTCTCAATTTAGTTAGATGAGCTAACTACCCCAGATGGCAGACGCAGAGAGAGAAACACATACGCACACATTAAAAATAAAGACATGCACAGCACACGTGTAAGACATTTTGTAACTATGGGGCACCTTCTTTAGTCTCAAAGTCCAGTGCAGATGAATTGCATTAACCCTCACCTTAGACTTCTCAGGCAGTCACCTGAAGAATCAGAACAAAGGAGCCATCATTCCGGAGGTGGTGACCCTTGGTGGGTGAACTGGGTACAGCCAGTCCCTGTGAATCTCAACCACCTGGCAGGAAGGGGCATGCCATGTCCCTAGTACATCTCCTCATAGGACCTCAGAGCTGTGCTAACCAACCCTATCTACCCCCAGCCAAGGCATCACCCTACCCCCTCCCATTCAAAGAGAAAGCCCACTTTCTCAGAGCCGGGTGCACCAGCCCCGGGAGGCAGTGGCTGTGAGTTCTGCTGTGCACATCTCCACAGTTTCTAATCATTGGTTTCAGCCACTTAAGCTGAGGTAATTAACACGTTTAGAGACAGCCACCATGGGCCTGAATCATCCATTATTTCTCCATGTCCATCTTCAACTCCAATGACAAATCTCTGACTGATTACAGTTTGGATTTCAGGTCCCACTCTTAATCACCACCGCTTCTTCTCTCTTTGGGGCTTGATTGATTGTGGAGGCTGCAACCTTCCAAGCAGGGAGGATTCATCACTGTCTCCATGCAGAAGAAAACTGCTTAATGGAGGCCAGCTAGTCACAGAGGTCTCCAGCCTTTTGGACAGTTGGAAAAAAAACTGAATAATTTACTCTGCCATTTCAGGTGGCTTCTCCAGATGACCTCTTACTACCTAGAACACTGACCACTGACCTCTTACTACCTAAAACACTACTACTTACAAGTAGAATAGGCTCCTTCAACTAATCCAGAGACTTTTAGGAGTGACAGTGACCTTTTGATACACACACTGGTCCTTACCCACTTCCCCAGCTGCTCCTTGTCACAATTATGTGAAAGAGGTAGGAAACCTCTTCCTTCTAGACCAAATGGAAATCAGCCAGGCCATTTGCATGAGGCCTGCGCCATAGCCATTATGGCTGCCTCCGCTCACACCCAACACTCAACCTTCTGGAAGGTGGTAAGGTCGCATTTTCCAGTTCTCGAGGGTTGGGGGTGCCGATGGGCTGTGGACAGAATTGATGTGGAGAGAGGGGCCAGACCACTTAACGGCTGATACAAAACGCTCCAGAGTCTCTTTTCCTTTTCCTCTGACAAAGCAAAAAGCATTTAAGATGGTGGGTACTCCATCATCCTGAAGCCACAAGTAAGGAAAGAGGCCCCTAGGCAACTCATGATGGGCTAGAGTGTGAGCAATAAAGAAACTTGTGTTGCTTTAAGCTGCCAAAAGGTAAGTGTTGTTGTTTTTTTTACCATAGCGTGATTTAACCTATCTCATGTGATACCGTCAGCAAGCCCCAGAATGAGTAATCAATGGGAAAAGCAAAGTTGTGTTCTTCACTCTTTATTCTCCCCCAACCATCCACCCAGCCCTTAAAAAGCCATCGAGGCTGGCAGGACACAGCTCCCTGTCACTGGACATGCTCGGGCAGGGGCTGAATAGCCACTAGGCAGGTATAATGCTTATTTATTTGTGTTGGCAGTCAGACCAGGTGTTCCCTCCCAACTCTGAGAGTATCTGTTATATAAAGACCACCCCTAAAGCTTCCAAGCAAAATACAGAGATGCTGATGCAAGCACTCACCACAGCCCCATGACCCTGAGTCATCCCTTAGCTTTGGAAAACACTTTCTTTTTTAATAAGAGAAGCTGTTGAATGGTGCCAATCTCATTCTTTCACTCAACAAATGGAGAAACTGTTTCATGCAAGCCACAGCCTATTGAATTGTCATATACATTACTACCCTGCTTTCTAGAGTCACAAATTCTAAATCTCAACATGAGTATTGTGGGATTCATTCCAACCAGGGGGGCTCATGGAAGGTTTGTGATCAAAGGGAAGTTGGAAAGGGCGAGTAAAACCTAATCACGTGTGGGAACTGGAGGTTGGCATCCTAGAAGTGGAACAATGAAAGCAAAAGCATAGAGAGATGGAAGTCGCTGACCTGGGGTGGCTCCTTAACAAGGCCACCGCAAAGGGCCCCTATTCAAGGACATTAATGATATCAGGTAAGGACTGTGTAAATGCTAACTACCTTTATTCCACCTGTCCTGACTTCCTGCCCAGATGCTAACAGTCAATTTTCATTTGCTGGCAAACATTTCCCCCTGGATATCCCACAACCACTTTGTGCTGAAATTCACGTTCCTGCCAATTCCTGCAAACTTTATCTCCTAAATTTCTGACTTCTACTAACCACACCATCTCTGACTCCTTCTTCTCATCAGTCTCCATATGAGTCTGTTTCCAAATCTTGCTTCTTCACAGCCACTTGCATTTGTTCCTTCCTTTTTTTTAATCCTGCCCCTGGACCTCCTCTCCAGGCTGGTGCAAGAAACTTCTAGCAGGTTTCCATCCCTGCACACATGTGCCCTCCATCCAACAGAGCGGTATATGCCATGCTCAGCTCAGCTCTAAGCTGTTGTCCTCAATCTTGTTTTTCCAGGAATTTTACTTGTCTGCATTCTAAATATTTTATTTCTAGTTATGCATCCTCTCATTCATTCATGTATCCATTTGTTTGCTGTTTTATCCCATCAATGACCTGCAGCTGGTGGTGGAGAGGGTCATCAGGGGTTGTGGGAGAGATTGTTCTTAGCCCCAAAGGAAAAGAAGTAGAAAGAGGATGCTTGGAGTTGAAGCAAGGGAATAATGCTCCTGGTAAGAAAAGGGATTCCCTAAGATCAGGGGAAGGGAGAAGATGAGGAAGATGGAGAGGCAGCAAGCGCCCCTGTTGTTGGAGATCTGTCTGCTCCTCATGCATCCCAAGGGCATAGGATTTCTGTGGGGCTGGTGTCAGCAAGCCTGGGACCAAACACATTAAAAGTCACAGCTATGGAAGCCACGGGGAAGCTCCTGGAGCTGAGTTTATCTTGAAGAGAGTAGAAGCTGTGAGACTCAGAGTCTCCACCCATCTCTGAATGTCCCTGTCGACTCAGACAACAAGCTTTACAGCTGTAATCCCATAAGTCTCAATATATTAGCCCAGTGTCTCAAAGCATTATATAAATTCCTACAGTTACATAATACTCAACTGTGTGATCTTTAGAAAAGTAGCTACCCATGCTGAGTCTTATTTTCCCCATCTGTAAAATGCCATACCTACCAGCCAGAGACACAGGATGTACTATGAATGACAGTGCTCTCAAAAGTGCAGAAGCCTCCAACAAAAGAAGACACCACTATTGTGTTGTGATCATTATTATCATTATTATCTTTTCTGAGATAGAGTCTTGCTCTGTCACCCAAGCTGGAGTGCAGTAGCACGATCTCGGCTCACTGCAACCTCCACCTCCCAGGTTCAAGTGATTCTCTTGCCTCAGCCACCCGAGTAGCTGGTACTGCAGGCATGCGCCACCATGCCTGGCTAAGTTTTGTACTTTTAGTAGAGATGAGATTTCACTATGTTGACCAGGCTGGTCTTGAACTCCTGACCTCATGATCTGCCCGCTTTGTCCTCCCAAAGTGCTGGGATTACAGGTGTGAGCCACCGTGCCTGGCCAGTCATTATTTTTAGTAATCATATACTAGCTGATGACCATTCTCAGGTGGATAACTTGTTGCTCTTACTGTTAAAGTCAATGAAATGACCCAGAACCAAAGTCGGTTTCCTGACTTTTCGATTCAGTCTCCTGACTCCCTTTGATTGAATCAAGTTCCAGCTTCCTTAAGTGGGAAGAGAATCCAAGGGCTGTTTCAACAGCCTGACTCTCAAATCATAAAAAACCTCAGTCCTTGCCTGTTTTCAACAGCAATAATCCAGTTCTGTGTGTCTGCCCTAAGGTTTATTTGCCCCAGGAGCCAATGAGTGTGGAGAAAAAGATAATATCTGTTCTATTTGACTCCTCAGCCCATACTAAACTGGCCCTAAAACAGAGGATCCCTCTGGGATGCCCAGGATGAAGTCAATATTCCCAGCATGGAGATCATTCTCCATTTGTTCCCAAATGAATAATCATGTACGTGAGCGTGCAGTCAGCCCCTGCTCAATTTACATCTGGGTGAGGGGACAGCAGGAAGGAGTGGACATGGATGCCATGCTTGGAAAACTAGGATTTTGCTAAACCGCAAGACTATGAGAAAAGCATCTCCAAGCACTGTCAGGAAACCACATTCTGGGTCCCTTTGCTCTCAGGAGGCCATGTGCTCTTTAATCACTCTGGATGAAGGTTGTCTTTGGAGAGACTGCACCAGCCTGGGCATCCATGAAGGCTGCCCAGCCCCATAGGCCCTGCTGTGTCAGGGACTAGCACCCAACCTCAAATGGCATGATACAGTAGGAATACTCTGCCAGCTGGGACTTGGGTTGGGTAGACTTGAGTGTTCCCTATTTGTTGGTGCTGGCATGTTAAATGTTTTGACCTCCTGGAATTTGCATCAAAGTTTATTACATATTTTTAAGCCACAAGACAAAGGCTCTGCTACATAAGAAACTTAACACAGAATCACCTAGTCTAGAATTATAATCTTATTTAAAATTTTTCTAAATTCTTTTGTTAAGAGATGGGGTCTATGTTTCCCAGGCCAATCTTCAACTCTTGGGCTCAAGTGATCCTCCTACCTCAGCCTCCCAGATTGTGGGGATTACAGGTGTGAACTACCATGTCTTGTCCTAGAATAATTTAAAGTCACCATAAAATTAGTATGACACCTACTGATTTTATGTACACCAGGAACTGTGGATGTGACTGAGAACCCTTCACTGCTAGCAGCTCTCCTAAATGCCTGGACCAAGTATTGCTTTGATCTTGGCCTTCCATGGCCAGAATTGGACCCTCATGACTGACCGCCAGGGCCTGGGCCACTATTCAAGGGAAACCAGTAGCACATTATTTTCCCCCTGGGCCTGCACCAGGAACATGAAGGAAAATAGGTTAGAGAAAGCAAGAGAAGGTTGCCTGCCTGAGTGACCCAGGACCTGAAGACAGAATGATTTTCCTCCTGGCCTGGGGAGGCCCAGTGGTCAGTGAGGGCATGAAGGGCAGAGGAGTGATAGGCTACTTCCAGCCCGAGGCGCCTTCTCTCCAGGCCTCCCACTCTTCCATCCCATGGGGCCTCTGGTTTCTCCTTTCTTGGCTTACCCTCCCTAAGCACATTTACTCCACACTGTGGATGTTCCTGTTGCTTCTTGGCAGCCACTTGGACTCATTTCCATCTCTCCACTGAGAGAAGGCAGCACAGGGAGGAAAAGGCACACAGAGAGAAGGGGGGTCAAAACCAGCACCCCTGCTGCCCACTGCTCCTGACTACCCAGGGAGTGAGGGCCCAGAGGCCCCTGCTGGGATTTAGCTGTGCACGACACATCTGCAACCGGCCACACATGCTCCAGACACTGCCTTCGTGGACTGCTCTGGGCTCCACTCTTGCCCTGCCCAGCACCCTGGGAGCTGCCTGACCCTTCCTGTCCTCACTGCTCGTTGGGGACCAGCTTCCAGCCTGACTGACACTGACCGGCTCAGGCACCTCTAGCCCCATTGTCATTTCCCTTGGGGCCCTCACCGCCAGCTGTACCCTGTGCAGGGGATGCAGGCCAACCATCCTGCATAAATTACAGATCCCAGCCAGTCGACTGGGGAAATTCTCCTGCTTTGATCCAAGAGGAAAAGCATGTACACACAACACCACGAGGAAGAAGTCTTCTTCCAGCGGAATTCACGGGTCTCAGCTTTGTTTCTGGAGGAGAAGGAAACCAAGGCAGGAGGTGAGTGACTGGGCCTAGTGCCCTGATCTACAGCTCGGCTGCTCCCACCCTGCCTCCCACCCATTTCTTTAAGCTTCCCCATCTTTTAGCAGTGGTTCTCAAACTTCATGATACTTTAGAATCTCCTGGAGCTTTTGCCAAAACCCAGATTGCTGACCCCACTCCCCTCCAAGTTTCAGATGCAGTGGGTCTGAGTGGGGCCTAAGAGTCCCCCTTTCTAACAAGGTCCCATGTAAGTCACTGAGAACTCTGCTCCTCAAAGTGTGGTCCCTGTGCCAGCATCCAGTTTCTCCTGGGAGCTTGTTAGAAATGCAGAATTTTGGCCCCATCCCAGACCTACTGAATCAAAGCCTACAGTGTAACAAAATCCCCAGTGATTTACATGTACATTAAAGTTTGAGAAGTGGCTCCTCAGCACTGATTCCCAAAATAGAGTCTCCCAGCCACCAGCATCCAAATTGCCTAGGGCACTTGTTACAAATGCAGATTTCCAGGTTCCACTCTAGACTCTTTAGATAGACTCTCTGGGTCAAGAATCTGCATTTTTCAGAGCATTCCAGGTGATTTTGTTAAACACTTGAGCTGAGATTCACAGACCCAAGGTATGAAGACCGTACAAGGGTCACCGGGCCATAACACCTGGAATATGCCCAATCCCATCTGAAGAGCACACGAGGCAGATGCTTCTTTTTTAAAACCCCTGGTGTGAGGCCTCCTCCCACCCAACCCTCCCAGAGGCTGTGGGTCTTCTCCCACATTACGGTCCTGTACTCACCGAGCCCTGCTCACCAACTACTGCTTCAGGGGCTCAAGTCTGGGCAACCGGCATTTGCAGTCAAGAGCAGTTGTCTCTGGCTCCTGGCTCTCCCACACACCACCCCGTGGGAGAGCACCCCTGAGGCTCCCTGGGCCTTGCAGCCCTGCGGCCAGTGGTCTCTAGTCTTGGAGGGTTGGCTTTGGCATCTTCCTGGGATGGAGGTGAGCTCTCCAGCACCCTTCTACCTCCAGAATCCCCCCTCCAGTTCTGGCCGGATTCTTTCCACCCTCCACAGGCCATTTCTTCATTCAGCCTCACAAGCTCCTTCCACCTGTCTCTGGCCCTCCTGGTATCTCAATGGACACTTGATAGATCTGTAAGGTGGCAGCTTCCTTTTAGGACCAAACCTTTGGATTCCAGCCTTGCTCTGCCCACTCCTCCCAGCTTTCCTTTTATAATTGTTTTCATACAGCATCAAGACACACTTGAATTTCAAAAGCCTCTGCCAGTTTCCTCACACGCTTGTTAAATTACTGAACTACCTAAGATTTCACTCAGGGAGGAGATGAGAATAAAAGCGCTCTCTCAAATAATACCACATTTTTAAGGGACAAAATTCTCCTACAATTTACTGGCAATTCAGAGCTTCTTAACACTTGTAGCTTCCCACTCCTTTTCTTCTTTGAGCCAGAGATGACGGGAGTAGAAATCATGCCCAGACTATAGGGAGTGATCAGGCAAAGACTCAGACTGTTTGAAAGGAGATGCACTCACCAAAAGGAATGTTCCAAGAATGAGGAGGGCAGTGGGGTTAAGGGTTCAACAGGCCTTGTTCCGGTGCTGGAGAGCCCAAATTTCACACTCATTCAGCAAATATTTATTAGAAGCACTTACTAGGTGGTGAATGCAAAGCCATCCAGCTGGGGAGACTCAATGTAAATGACCAGGTGTAACACAGGTTCTAGGAACAACAAACACGGAAGCCAGAGGACAAACTGAGGCAGCACATAAGCACTCGATGCAGGAGGAAAGGAGAAAAGAAACTGTTGTTCTGAGTGAGGAAATGAAGGAGGGCCCCTTGGAGATGACCGCCTCTCAAGTGGAGATTTAAAGGATGAGTTATACTATGGAAGGCAGAATGTGGTGGCCAAAGTTGCTCCCAAGGGACACTCACAGCCATCCTTTCATTCAGGGGCTTGAGACAGTCACTTTTTCCTTTATGTCCTGGGAAGAAAACATCCATTCCATCACGTGGGCCATCCCTTATACATCTTCCAGGCAAACGACATGGCAACTGGAAATGCTTTCTGCCAGTCTCTTTTTAAACCTGGGAGACTTCCAGAGAAGAGTCAAAATGATTTTACCTGACAAGGAAGAGCATGGTGACAGGAAGGGGAACAAGGGCAGAAACAGGTCATCTTCTGCCTTTAGTTACTCAGCATGGGGCAGATGATAATGAGCCTGGACATCAGCCCCACCTGCCTAGAGCTGGCTGGGAATTTAGCACAGCCGAGAGCCCCGCCCTCCTCTCAAACCTGTCCCACCCACGGTGCCCGCCCAGCCCAGAGTGAAGGGAAGGAAGCCCAACTCTGCTTAGAGAAGAGGGTTCCAAGTCCCCAGGGCCACACCTCCCACTTTCACTGCCCACTACAGCCGCGTTTCCCAGGTGAGGCTCTGCTGCCAGGCCTCTTATGCAACAGGAGCCTGATGTTTCCAGAGGAGGGAGTTGACCTCATGCACCGCTATGCTCCTTAACAGAGCGAAGCTGGTGTAAGCCTGCGTCTTCAGCAGCACCATCAACTTCTAAAGAACCTTTTCCAGGAAAAAAAAAAAACCCAGATGATTATCTTACTTAACAGCTATTAAGTGGTGTTAATTACCTGTTACTCTCAGCAGGTTGGAAAAATTTTGCCCTAACAAACAAAAGAGGGTGAATTGAATGAGAATGGGTAGTACTGGCATTCGCAAAAGAAACACAAGCTGTCATCATCATCATCATCATCAATTAATATTTATTGAGTGCACGTACAAGGGAATGGGCAATTTGCTGAATGTCCTCACCCACAGCCCTAACCGCAAGAACAAGACGAATGGACACAGCCCTCCCTCCCCCTTGCCAGGCAGAGGGTGTTGTCCTCCCCACCGGCCCAGGCAGAGGGGTTGTTGTCTGAATTCAAGCACATGCATATGTGTTTGTTCAAAGTCTGGCAACAATTCCTATTAGCTGGACTGTGCCAAGTTTTATCACAAGTCTGATTTAGCAAACTAATATTTTGAAGAAAAGATAAAATAATATTGTACCTTGCTTCCAGCAAGGGATTGAGTGCCAGTGTCTTAGTAAAAATAGTAGTAGATTAAGGAACAAGGAACTTGGGCTGTAGCCTGGACTATTAAGAAACTACAGAAACTTCGGTAAACCATTTAACCTCAACAGGCTCAGTTTGTTCATCTACAAAATGAAAATGATAATAATAATAGTATCTAATTCATAGGACTGTTATGAGTATTAAATGAGTTAATACATGTGAAGCTCTTAAAATAGTTTCTGGCACAGAGTAACACTTTATAAATAATAACTATTACCTGTAAGAGGAGGCATTTGACCTGCACAATCTCTACAGTCCTTCTCAGTTCAAATACTCCATATAGTTTTAAAAAGCAGCAATTAAACTCCCTTGAAAATTAAACCAATAGATCTTCCTTTTCACTCTCCAGTGCTTGCAAATTTTAAAAATCCTCTTCCTCCAATAATTTTTATCCCCAGAAACACCACGTGTTCTGGGAAGTCTGACCATTTTGTGTGTCAGCAATTACCACTCCTAAGTAATAAAAGCTCCCATGCTCCTGAAGAAGGATTTTCCTCACTTCTCAAGTTAGTGCTGTGCAGCTGTAGGTGTCTGTGCCATTGGTTTTTCTGTGTGTATCTCTGTGGGTATCTCTCCATAAAATTGTTCCATTGCACAGGGACCAGCACATAGTTGGTGCAATGGAGCAAACTCTCCATTTATTCACTTAACAGATATGCATCAAGAGCCTACTATGAGGTGTCAAACACTATGGCAGGCACTGGAGGTGCCAGGATGAGTTCAGTGAGCCTCGTGACAATGTTCTGGGCACCCCCAGGCTGATGGGAGAGACCGAAAGCCGAACACCGGACCATGCTGCAGCCAGCACTCTCACACTGGTGAGCAGGCAAAGGGGTCAAAAGCCACAGCCTATAAACTACAGGTAGTGGGGAAACCTGGCAGGCACACATGGAGAGAGGGATCCCACTGCAAAATGGTGGAAACACCTGGGGCCATCTCTGGGTCTTGAGAATCACTGTGACAAACTGCCACGAGTCCCAGGAAAACCCTCTGCTCCCACATCAAAGAACAGGCTTCACATAGGAGGAAGGAATTACCCCTTTCCCCTGAAGTGTCACCTCTTCCTCCTCCTCTCATCCCCTGTCCCTGCCTCCTCCCACCAGAGCCACCCGTCTCCTCCTAACTGGTCCCCCCACTTTCACCCCACCCTAAGCTATTTTTCACCAGTAGGCAAAGTGATCTTTTTGAAACATAAATTAGATCATGTCAGTTTTTGGCTTAACCCTCCAACATCTTCCCACTCTCCTAGAAGGAAACCCAAACTCCTTCAGATGATCTCTAAGGCCCCACATGATCTGGCCTCTGTGCCCCAGGGCCCCACAACCTGCCACTCGCTCCCCTGCTCACTCCACTCCAGCCACACTTGACCCTTTGTTGTTCCTCAAACCCAGCAAGTCTGTTCCCACCTCAGAGGCTTAGCACGTGCTGTAGCCCCTGACTGGGGAGCTCCTCCTCAGATATTTGCATAGCAGTGCCTTCATCATTCAAGAATCTGCTCAAGGACACCGCCTCAGATGAGCCCTCCCTGCCGATCCAGTATCGTCTCTCTCCTTATTTACCTTAATTTTTCCATGCCTCTTAGCATCATTAACTGAAAATGTGCCCACTGTGCGTTTGTTTACTTGCTTATTGTCTATTTCCCACACTTGAATGTTCCATAGGGCAGCTTGTCTTTTTCATGACTTTACCCCCAATTCCTAGAACAGTGGCTGGC